CATCTAGGTCGAGATGTTCATTTTCTTTTTCTTTTACGTGTGGTTCGATTTTGAACGCTTCCGTTGCGGTTTTAACCGAAGCTGTTAGCTTTCGTTGACTTAGGAAATCAGTATCCTAGCACCTATATAAAACATTACTGAGACTAGCTTAAGTTTAATCAATATATGAGAGACGTCTTGTTTATGTTCTTCCAAAACACAAAGCCTGAAATATCCAATCTTATCCGATTTAAGCACAAGCTGATTGGGAAGCGTGTCTAGCGTGGCGGTTTACTAAGCTGAGTGCATTGATGCACCTATAGGTTGTTAAGGTAGAGAAGGGGGCTTATGGTCGGTGTACAAGTATACACTGGCTGGGTAACGGAGGGCGCGTCTTCCGGGACGCGCCCTCCGTTACGGAGGGCGCGTTATGTGCGCCCGATGCACCCGACTACAACTTTTTTTTCTTCGAATGCAGTTGGGAAGTAAATATGTGGAGCACTAACGGAAAAATCGCGGATGTGGTATTCGCGCTAAGAGTGCCGCGCAGCGACAGAGCGGTATTGTTAGCGCGAAAATGACGTGGGCGCTGTTTTCGTATTTTATTTTCATAGAACAACGACGGGCACTATATTTTCCCACTTCTGGTAATGTTCCAAATGAACGTATCACACGACAGTGTTAGTTAAGACAATAGCCTTTCAAGTCTAACGAAAAAAAAAAAACTGAATAAAACGGTGATCGTTTGCTTGCGCTAACAGTGTTCGAGCGATGCACGCACTAATATCCTGCCAACCACTCGCTCATGATGCTTCTCTCGCTGCCCGTCGTTATGCCAAAGTTTCGTCAACGCGATGAAAGTTTAGATTATGAATGTCCCTGCGGCGAAACTGAAAATCAGCACTTTTGGCCGAACACTTGCCGGCCATGTTTATGTCCACGGCGGCCAAGCTGAAAATCAGCATTTCTGGCCAAACACTCGCCGGCCGTGTTTATGTTTCCGGCGGCCAAGCTGAAAATCAGCACTGCTGGCCAAACACTTGCCGGCCGTGTTTATGTCTCCGGCGGCCAAGCTGAAAATCAGCACTGCTGGCCAAACACTCGCCAGCCATGTTTATGTTTCCGGCGGCCAAGCTGAAAATCAGCACTACTGGCCAAACACTTGCCGGCCGTGTTTATGCCTCCGGTGGCCAAACTGAAAATCAGCACTTCTGGCCAGGCGCTTGCCGGCAGTGTTTATGTCTCCGGCGGACAAGCTAAAAACAACTAGTTTGTGGCCGGACCCTTGCCGGCCTTGTTTGTATCTCCGGTGGCCAAGCACTTAAAGTGGCCAAGCTGTCCAGACACTGGCCAACCGTCGGCCGATCGAAATTCACTTTCTGGAGCTGCTTGGGCTAACGCTGTCGGCTGTCAGCTTCGCCCGCCCGATCGACTAATTGTTCGGAAGCAGTCGAGCTGAGCAGTGCGGCTTCCTAGTTCTCGGGAGTGGGATCAGGGTGGGAGGGGTGGATGTTAGGGTGAGCTGTGCAAAACCACGCGGTGTGTGATAAGGATGCATATTGCTCGCAGTGCGGACATTCGGCTTTGTAGCTTGTAGGGGAGAATTTGTGCAAGAGCGCTAGGTTGCGGAACGCTCCTGTCTGGAGCTGGCGCCAAGCGACCGCGTCCCCTCTGTTGAGGTTTTTGTGGGGCGGGGTGTATTCACGCCTCTGGCCACGGTGGTAGGCCCTGATTTCGGAGTACCTGTTTCGGACCGGAATAAAGTATGAATCTAGCCCTAGTCGCAATGTGGCGGCAGGAGCGGCCCGGAGGGTGCATGCTCGGGCATTGGTGTCAGCGCACCGATTGCCTTTCACCTCGTCCTGTCCTGGGATTCATATGAGTTCCACTGTGGGGAAGTCATGTCGGTCTCTCTGGGTGAGGTCCTTGAGTGCCTTCAGCGAGACACGGCCTGCTAGGAAGCGACGCGGTGCTGCTTGTGAGTCGCTCATGATGGTGACGTGATCTCCGAGTACAATGGCCATGGCGATGGCGAATTCCTCTGCAATGGTCGTATTAGAGGTACGCAGCGACGCCGTGATTCGGGCGCTCCCAGTTCCATCCACGACGCATATTGCCGCTGCATTCCGCTGATAGGCATATGTGGCCGCGTCTGTGTACAAGACATCAGCCCGTTTGCCATACGCCTATTGGTAGAATCTTGCCCCAGCTTTGCGGTGTTCCGCGTGGAGGGTCGGGTCCATGTTGCGGGGGATCGTGTGCGCCTTGATTTGGCTCCAGATGTGTCTCGGGAGGGGTGCCGTGGTGTCTTCTTTGTCCCATTGGAAGGGAATCTTGAGCGACTCGAGGACCTTTCTGCCAGCAGGAGTTTGGGCAAGTTGGTCTCGTTGAGTGGCAAGGTGGCTGTCCACCAGCTCCCTAAACGTGTTGTGGACGCCGAGCTTGAGTAGCTTTTCTGTGGAGGTGTAAGGGGGGAGTCTGAGGGCCGTCTTATACGTTTTGCGTAAGAGGACATCTAGCTTATCCTCGTCTCCCTTGGTGAGATTCAGATAGGGTGTGGCGTAGATGATGCGCGACACTACCAGGGCGTTAATCAGTTTGATCGTGTCGTCTTCTCCGAGGCCGTGCCGCCGGCTGACGACTCGGTGCGTGATGCGTCGAATCTGGGTGACTTGGTTCTGGAGGAGTGTGAGGGTATGGGTCGCCTTTCCGTCCTCCTAAAGGTGGAGTCCTAGGACTCTAGCACGCGGCATTACGGGGATTAAGGAGCCGTCGTCCAGGAAGACTTGTATCTCGTCTCTGGGCTCCGACTTGCGGCGGGACCTTGGGGTCTTGCAGACTAGGGTCAATTCCGATTTGGCTGCCGAGATGTGTAGGTGACCCTGGCGTAGGTACCGTTGAACATCGTCGACTGCCGCCTGAAGCGTGTCCTGCTTCGCTCCGTCAGACCCAGACACGGTCCAGATTGTGAGATCGTCCGCGTACAGAGAGTGTTTAATGTGCGGGATGCGCTCCAGAATTGGGGGCAGCCCGCTCATTTCCAGGTTGAACAAAGATGGCGAGAGCACCACGCCCTGCGGTGTGCACCTATTGGGGGTATGACGCCCGTGTGGAGGTCACCTGCACCAATGGTGGCTGTCCTGTTCCGTAGAGAAGTCACGCAGGTAGTTGTACATTCTGGAACCGCAAATGGTGACTCTCGGGTTTCGGAGGATTAGTTGGTGGCCCACATTGTCAAAAGCTCCCTTGACGTCCAGAGGGAGCACCGCTTGGGTCGTCGTCCTGAAGATGGGGCCAGGGGTGTCCTTTTTTAGCTGCAGCATGACGTCCTGGGTTGACAAGTGCTCTCTAAATCCAAACATGGTGTGCGAGAACACACCCGTTTTCTCCATGTGCAGCTGCAGCCATTTGAAGACGACCCGTTCCATCAGCTTTCCCACGCAGGACGTGAGGGCGATTGGTCGCAGGTTGTCGAGGCAGAGCTCCTTCTCAGGTTTGGGGATGAGGATAATTTCCGAGTGTTTCCACTCCCTGGGGAGCTCGCCGTTCTCCCATACCTGGCTGATATGTGTGGGATTTGCTAGCTACCAACACAGGTACCGATAGAATAACCAAAGTGTTATCTCAACAGCGGCGGCGATCTCAAAGGAGACGTCAAACCTAGTAGCGCGGTCCCCACATCTCCGCGGTAATATAGACGACGTTTAGGGCTACATTACCACGGGTCGGTTCGATAAATTACCTCCGTCGGTGCCAGTGATCGTCTACCTTGTCTCACTCTCTCGAATATAGTGGAAGAGAAGACGTACCAAAGTAAGGACAGAGTCCAAGAGCATTTACTACAACACTCTTCTTAATGAACTACAATGTCCCCATCCCAAATGCCCCCCGCGCCGGCAAGGTAAGAAAAGGTCCTTACCTGCCAGACGCGGGGTTCCGGAGAGCCAAGATGGGGGAAGCATCGGAGAAGTCGCCGACACACGTCCGATCTCTTTCGCGGTCACCGGACGAGCCCCTTTCCCGAAAGCGGGAAAAGAAAAGGCTAAACCTCCTCGCCAGCAGTGATCCGCGTCCGAGCGGGGGAACGGAAAAAGGTCCCTCCGGGAGAGAGAAGAGGAGAGACCCCAAGCCAGGCGGCCCTCCGCCTCACGAACAGGTCGGAGCTCACGGCAAAGGTGGCCGAGCGTTATGACCCGCGGCCGTTATTATAGCCATCGGGGACGGGGGACCACACGAATACCCACGTCCAACACACGCACCGATGGAATAGCCAAAGGGTTATCTCATCAGCGACGGCGATCTCAAAAGAGTTGTCAAGCCTAGCGCGGTCCCCACATCTCCGCGGCAATATAGACGACGTTTAAGCGGGAGACACATGTACGACGAAACCTTCCGATCCGACGTGCGGACTGCCGGAATGACCTTGGGGGGGAGAGGGTTTTCGTAGCATCGGAGAGCGTTGAAAACCCTCGCCTCCGACCGTCGTATTGCGCGGTCGGACGTCGGATCGGACGGTTTCGTCGTACATGTGTTTCGCGCTTTAGGGCTACATTACCGCAGGTCGGTTCGATAGACTACCTCCGTCAGTGCCGATTATCAACTATCTTGTCTCACTTTCGAATATAGTGGAAAGAAGACACCGCTTTGAACAGTAAAATTATGCGATTCGAGATAGATCTCGGAGCTCAGATAAGCTATAGAGACCTTTGAGAAACTTTATTAGCCAGACATGCAGACACCCTAGCGCGAGGGTATAAAAAAAAGAAAGAAGAGCCACGAAGCTCCGCAGTTCGGCGCTTCCTGTCTGTTCCTCCCTTTCTTGTCCCCTCGCTACAGGGTTAATATGTATATCATTAACTAGCTCGCTTGTCTACTTGTTTTCACTTAATTAGCCAGTTGTGATGGACAATCCTCCCCTCCCGGCCGCAAGAGAAGACCACAGTGTCCATCGGGGTTACAGAGCCATCACTTGTGACTGTATAGAGCCGACTGCAGTGTAGGTTGCCTTTATCGCTCCGCAGGCGGAGTACAAGTCGAGTGCATTGGCCCAGGGCTTCCTGACAAGCCACGACGTGTCGGACGTGTCCCTGATCACGCTGAACGGCAACTCGACGGCCGTGTGGACCGTGAGCCCGCCGAGCAGGAACGCCCTCGTCGAAGAGCTCCGCAGCTCGGCGGTCACGCTGCGGCTCAAGTGGTCTTTCACGCGAGACGTAGACGACGAGACCAACGCTGAGAAGCTGGTGGAGAACGAGCATTCGGTGCAGCTCATGGACGAGGCCGTCCGGATGCGCTTGTCGAACATGCTCACCGGGTCGGCGGAAAACGTCACCGTGCCCCCAATTCTGCCCAGGTTTGTGATGCCCATGCCGCGCGTGCGATGAGCTTTCAAGGTGTGAGATTTCTCAGAAAGTCCTCGGCGATTAGGCAACGGGCGTTTCATTTCCCCCCAGAAATATTTTGGCGATCCAGATTCGAGACATGCCACTCTCAGTACGCGGCTCATGTCTGTGGCACATAATTCTGCTAACATGGAAGCACGTTTTATGTTTTGGGGCAATGTGTGCACAACTGGTGCGCTAGTCCTGATAAGGATTTTCACGTGTGGGCTGGCAGTTCCGGTCGGTAGACTAACTTATGCTTCTTTGTGCTGGGAAACAAAATCAGACAGCCACACTTGACCTCCAGGTCTTGCCCCTCTCATCCCCTATATTCACGGTCACCGGTAGCTTAAGGAGATCAGGGTGTGGTCTATTGCGTTATAACACTTCCTACTTCATTCTCCGGCATGCCGAAATAGTATTGACTGCAAAAAAAAAAAAAAAAGCATGATTAGGATTTTTTAATAGCGACCATGCACCTCCAGGGCGTTCAGGTTCCGTTTCGATCTCTGGACCGCAAAGTGGAGGGTTGAAACCCTGCAGGTTGTCATTTCCCCAGAAGCCTTTGGGGCGTCGCTGATAGTTTGTTTCTTCGCGACGGAAACCCTCAACATTTTATTTCAAATAAAAATTAGCGCAGTAATTATTTACCATATATAGAGCCGTATTTATAATTTAATATAGGATTATGCCAAAGGCCCGGCAAAGGCGATGGAGACTTACCGGGCCGTTTTCAGTCATGGCGGATATATGCAGGACTCCCACGGCTTGATAGATATGTATTCATAAGGAAGAAACATGACTGACATCAAAGAAAAGTTGGCACGCCTTGTCTTTATCCCATCCCCCTCAGGTACCTGCTGGTGCCCCGTAAGGGCAAAGTGGAGGTAGTCCGGGCCCTGGACATTCCAGGACTGGACACCTACCGGCGCCTAACGCTGCGCCTGCGCAACGGGGCCTTCCGGAACTTGAGCTCCGAGAGTGACTGGTGGGAGGTGACTGAACGCTGCACGGACACGTACCCGTTTCCATTCCTGCGCGAAGACAAGCAGGCCTGCACCCACCTGAACCTCGTCATCTTCAACGAGAAGGCATTTCCCCAGGCGCTGTCGCAGATCACGAAATACGGGTAAAGACACGGCCACAGGGACGAGTAAACGCCTCCTATGGTCGCTGAAAGCTCATTAGAAACACCGCTTCTTACGCTTCCTGCTTTGTGATTCGTTCTTCGGTGTTCACATCGGCTGACGATAACTGTCGGTGGCTATGCGGAGCCCAAGTTCGTCTGCTTCTTGCGCATGGGTTGCAGTGACGTCTGGACGCTGAGCTCTGATTGGAAGGATAGTAGGTGGATCTCAATGCTATCGTTACCTTGAGGTCTACCCCCTACCCTACCGATCGGAGCCAATCAGAGCTCGGCATTCTGACGTCCCGGCATCCCCTGCGCAAGCAGACAAACTTGCGCTCCGCATACACCAGATAGATAGATAACAACTTTAATGTTCCACCAGATAAGGAGACCCCTAGTCCTCGTTCCCGGCATGCAGGCCTAGGATACGGGGCCCGGGACCTCCACGATTAGAAGCAGGCAAAGGTTTTGGCTCTTCGCGGCTTCTTCCTCCAGGCGGATGGCTTGCTGCTGTGGAGCAGGGACCTCGCTCCGCAGCAGGGCTTCCCAGGCTACTCTACAATTTATATTTGCTTTAGCCCCTGAGGAGCTAGCACATTCCCAGATTATGTGGTCAAGGGTCCATCTCGCCCCACAGTGCTTGCACTTATCGTTTTGTCTGTCATCTATCCGAACATGGTATGCCCAGACTGGGTTTATGAAGTTCCCAGCTTGCAGGCGCCGCCATGCGACTGCCTCCCTATTGCTTAGACTTTTGTACGGTGATGGCACCTGTTTCCTTTGTGGTCTATAATTTTCGACAATCTCCGAATAATTTTGCAGACGATCGTCCATGTTCCGGCAGTCGGGCGGCTCCACAGTTACCCGCAAGTAGAGAGCTCGGGCTAACTCGTGGGCGGCCTCGTTGCCAGGAACGGACGTGTGTGCGGGGGTCCAAATTAGGCTAATTTTTCTGTTTAGTTGTCTACCGGTCAGAATCCTTGCCGCTTCCGGCGAGATCCTACCCTTCCCGAAATTCCAGATGGCCGTTTTGATATCTCTAATAATAAAATTGCCTTTCGTTCCAACGCAAGCGAGCGCTATCGCAACTTCATCAGCCGTTTCTGCGTTGCGACTTCTAATGGTGGCGGCCGATACGGGAGCACCTCGGCCGTCAACCACCGAGGCGACCGCCGCACCCGACTTGCCACTCGCCGCGTCCACATACGCAACCGACTTGCTGTCCATTAAATCGAAGCGTCTGATTTGCGCTTCTACTCTCATCTCCCTCCTCTCCGTATGAATATGGGATGCATGTGACGAGGGAGGGGGAGAATTATTAGGTTTTCTTGGCAGTCCTGCGGAATGCTTGACTTGACTCGTAGTCCCCTATTTGTTTGCAGGCCTACCATCTCGAGGATAGCTCTGCACGCGTGGTCGTTCGGCTAAGTCTTTCGAGCAGCGAAATTCTGACAGCCTCCGCTATTTCGTCCCAGGTATTGTGCACTCCCACAGAGAGGAGCGTCACTGTGGAGGTGCTAATTGGTAAGCCCAGGGCCCTCTTTGTGCATCGTCGGATGAGCGAGTCTAGTTTCCTTCTCTCCTCCGACCTGATGTTTAAGGAAGGCGTGGCATAGCTCGCGCGGGTTATTACGTATGCTTGAATTAGTTTAAGCAAGCTTCTTTCCTTCAGACCTCGTCCTTTAAGCGCGACCCTTTTAAATATTCCAAGGGCTTGCGTGGCAAATCTTTCTATAGCCTTTTGATTGCCCCATTATTATATTCATTCTCCTGAAGGAATAGTCCCAAGGTTCTGATCTGGTCTACCTTTGGAACTGGTTTGTCCTCAACTTTAATGCTAAAATCCCAGCTGCGTTTGTATCGGAGAGACTTTGGGTTATAGACGAATAATTTTGATTTTTGCGGAGAGCAGGAGAGACCCCTATTGGCAGCATAGTCCACGACAGTGTCTGTCGCCACCTGCAAGCGCTCCTCGTAAATACTGGAATTCAGCCCCTTTATGCTCCTCAGAGCTGCTGGGAGGCTCCTCATTGCCACGTTGAAAAGGAACGGGGAGAGAACCGAGCCCTGCGGCGTGCCCCTGCTCCCTAACTTTAGTGTGTGTGACTCAATGTCTTGGAACTTTATGCAGGCAGTTCTGTCTGACAAAAAGTCCTTGATGTAGTCGTACGTTCGCGTACCTACCCCAATTTCTTGGAGACCGCAAAGGATCGCTTCGTGTTTAACATTATCAAAAGCCTTTGTCAAGTCCAGGCCGAGAATTACTTTGGAATCTCTAGAACGCGAATCGATTATGTCATGTTTGAGTCGGAGCATCACGTCCTGCGTGCTCAAGCCCGGCCGGAAGCCCACCATCTCGCACGGCCACAGGTCGTTTTGCTCCATAAAGCGCGTCAATCTGGTCTGGACTACGCGCTCCATCAATTTCCCCATGCGTGAGGTTAGGGAAATTGGTCTTAAATTTTCTAGTCTAGGGGGTTTGCCCGGCTTTGGGATTAGAATTACGTTTGCCGACTTCCACTGCTGAGGCAGGTGGCCTTTAGTCCAAATATCTTGCATGTACTCCGTCAGAGTGCTGATGGAGTCATTGTCCAGGTTTCTTAATATTTTGTTAGTTATCTCGTCAGAGCCCGGGGCCGATTTTCCGCATACACCAGTGCGCGGCTCTGATGTCGCGCCACTGCGGTGGCGCTACTGTCGGTACGGCGCACGCTCAGACGCGCTTCACTTGATGCGAATCTCGTTTCTGCGCACGCGCAGCACCCATACCTGGTGGCGGCAAACGAGAACTTGTTTGTAAACAGCGCTTTGGCCAGGTAAGAAAAGCCGTGGTGCTGAATTTTTGACGTCACGTTGAGAAGGCTAACGCGGCGTACAGATTGGACGCGAGTCTGCGTCAGCTTTCAGCTGAGGCTCAGAGCATAAGTCTCGGCCGAATGCTGACGTAGAATTCGGGTCCAATCTGTGCCCCACTACGGCTTTCTTTAGGAGAGGCGGACACGACTTCACGTGCTAGATGGGGAATGTCGACAGTGCGTCGAGGTAGAACCGGTTCAGAAACACCTTCTCGCCGCTCATAACCATCGTTATACGTGGCTTTTCATTGACGTCACATCAGTCGCCTATGTGGTCGCCTTACTGCTGAGCGCGTTCTCTTTGGAGCACAGACTTCGCACAACCGAATCTATTTTATCGGCAAGGACATCATTGAAAGAAAACCTGAGACTGGGACAAATAAAAAGAAAAACAGACAGCACGACACACAATTTCAAACGTAGCTGAGTTTATTCACAGGAGGAAGCCAATAAATACCCGTCCGCACAAAAACAGGTAGAAAGAAAGGTGGACCGAAAGAGACCACTCCAACGGAGCTAGACAGACAGACACCATCCCCACACAGACAGAACCGCCACCCGGAAACACCACCGGCTCCCAAGGACCCGGTGGTGTTTCCGGGCGGAGATTCTGTGCCGCGCTGTCCGGGTTTTTTTTTTTTTTTTTTTTTTTTTTTTTTTATTGTTACGTTTTTTTTTTTTTTTTAATAATAGTTCCTAACCAGCTCGACTTCGTACTCTCCCTCCCTGCAATGGGAATGACCCAGAATAACGACCTCAGTTGTGGAACTCCCGCGAAAAGGGATACCCCCTCAACCGGCTCCCTGATTTACTTCAGTCCACCTTCCGCTCTGACCTCCCGTCGTTTGAAGCGCCATCTTGAGTTTTGTTTCAAAACTGCGTTGAAACGCCATCCGGACGCTATGCTTCGAAACATACGTTTTGCAGAGGATATACTGCAGTTATCATAGCAACCACCCCCCCCCCCCCCCCCAAAAAAAAAAAAGAAGAAAAAAAGCAAACATCGGTGTCGCGTTGAATGACGGGAGTTGAGCTGTGGGGGGAGAGGCGGGTAGCATCTATGGGCAGTTCCATAACTGAGCTAGTCTAGTAACGTTGCCACCAGCACGGGACAAAGACGTCACGTGATAACCACTGACTTTAGACACATGGATAAAACTGTGCTGGGCTCCCATATTCAGAAGCTGACTGTACCCTTTGCTTTCTACAGGATCGTGGGCTTATACACGACGTTCGCGTTGGTGATCGTGCGCCTGCTACGGCGCATCATGGCGGGCATGGCTTTCACCATCATGTACGACGACCTGCCCAACGTGGACCGCGTACTCCAGCTTTGCCTGGACATCTACCTGGTGCGCGAGAGCAGGGAGATGAGCCTCGAAGAGGACCTCTTCGCCAAGCTCATCTTTCTGTACCGCTCACCGGAGACCCTCATCAAGTGGACGCGGCTCACTGACACCCAGCTGCAGGCGCGCCGCTAATGATGGTTCCATCGGTCTCGCATCAGCGCTTGCCCTCTGATATCACACCTTACGATGTGATCGTTAGGTGTGTTTGCCTGTGTGCACAATGAAACTTCAGTGTGTGCTGTGTATAAAGTCGCTTAACGAGCTTGTCGCATTGACGCAAGCTGGCATGCATACGCAATGAAAAGAGAGAAGCTGGAAGTGTTAGTGTGTATGTGTGTTTTTATTACAATGTGCATAATCTCTCAGGCCCTCGGTATTGCTTTGCTTCGTTATGATTGCACTTTGTCTTCGCTTGTGCTATTACGAGGATCTTTTTTTTTAGTGGTTTTGATTTTTTTGTTGTTTTTTGCCATTTCTACTATTCTTAGCTTCAGCTCTGACGATGTCCATTACTCACAATGTGACGTTTCTTAATTTATAATTAATTAAACATACCGCGTCTAGAAGTGACCATCTTATAGTCGAGTCCTGGTATTTAATAAGCACTGTTATCCTCCTTTCACCCTTAAAAGGAAAGGGTATGGCAAAAACTTTTGTACTTTGCGCGAACATCGCTTAGAACGAATCCCTGACGTAAAGGATCAATGAAACACGCGTTCGCTCCCCCCCCCCCCCCCAACAATAAACGTCTTAGAAAAAAATAAATGAAAGGCGAGCAGCGTTCACTTCCTCAACTCGAAGCCAGAACAAGCGGCCCACTGATCTGGAGCCGATTATATGCCGCCAATATTGATTAAAGCCACGCATTGAGAACGTTGTCAAGCACAGAACACGCGCCGAGTTCCATACATTTTTAGGGTTCGGCTATTGTCAATGCAGCGATTGAACACTGGCTACTACCCGAATGCTTGTCGAGCTATTGATTATCACGAGCCCAAATCGAGTGCCCATTCAATGCTCGGGTCCAATCTGAGCCGCTTTCCAATGCCGTCACTGGGGGATACTGGGACCCCCACGCTTCGTGATAAAACTTTACAAAAAAAAAAAAATATTGAAAAAAAAAAACCGCTCGCACAACAAAGCTTCTAATGCAGAACGCTCGTTTTAAAGAAAACTCGGCAGTGTCTTTCTTGGTCAGTTGTTGCGTGCGACGCTCCAATTGGTCCGAGGCGCTGACGTGAGCACTCCTCTGCCTGGTCTTCGTCAAAACGAACCTTTTGTTTTCGGCAAATTCACGCGCACAGTTGGCGTGGAGCCAGAGAGGAGGAGGCGCCGCGCAACACCTCCTAGATAACAAAGACGAAGTGCTGAATGCGATGACGTCATCAGAGAAGGCCGACGCTGTAGACACAGATGGGAAACGAGTGCTGCGTCCGCGCTCGGCTTCGAGTCAAGTTTAAGCCGAACGTAGACGCACTCGTCGTGTCCAATCTGTGGCCAGCGTTGGTCGTCTCTGACACCGAAGTCTTATTCAGCACTACGGCTTTGTTATCTAGGAGGTGTTGCGCCGCGGCACAGTGGAATGCGGGCGTGCTCAGCTGCCGCTCTGCCGTCGCCGGTTGTGCTTCGCTGTGGGTGTCCGTAGTAGTGGTGCGTTAGCTGTGATGTGTCTCTAGAGTTAAAACAACGGATGCGGTTCACTCTACGAGTGGTATGGCTGCGGTTCCTTCCACGAGTGGTACGGATATGGTTCTTTCCACGAGTGATACGGATGACAGTATCAAAGGACATCGACGTACTCTGACAGGCAGAGTACAAGAAAGGGGTACAAAGATTACAGGAAGATCCATTGGTGGATCCTTGGGGAATCCGTTAGCATGACCCTTGGAAACGCCACACACGCCCCCCTTTGCGAAACGCTGACACTGACATCATGAAAGGGGAACAGCGCGAAAATAAACAAGGGACGAGTAGAAGGGGAGCAGTGCCGTGTCTGTCGTTAGCTCCCTCGTTTATTTTCGCGCTCTTTCCCTTTCATGATGTCAAACCAACTCGCCTAACTTTATGCGTTGCTAACATTGACCCCGTAGCGAAGCAAAAAAAATATGGCAGCAAAAAACAGGGGAACCAAGAGAAAGCCAAAAGAAAACGGTGAAGGGGTCAGCGTTAGTGTTTCTCAAAGAGTTAAGTGTGTGGCGTTTCTGAGGGTCATGCTAACCAAAGTGTCCAACCGAAATTTTTATCGGTTCGGTTTGGGTTCGGGTTCACAGCTTTCGGTTAAATTTCAAGGAGCGAAATTAACGCTTCGAACCGGTTCAAAGCGGCTTGAACGATATTTTTCGCGTTGTTTTGGCAATACGCACGATTTCAACCGTGAAACGAGAAACTTCATAGCTTTTATCACTCGTACAATCCACTTTTATTTTCCGGTACCAAAAATAACAAATTGCGTTATTTAATTTCAACGAAACAGTAACAGAAAAGCTAGATTATCATACGAAACGTCGCGTTTATACGACTCAACATCTATTTGTTTACATCAGTCGCATATATTTTGCCCGAATCGAAAGGTTATCAGTCTAGTGCGTAAAAACGGAATGGGCACCTTCTCGCCATATATATTGTAAAATCCAGTTCACAAAGTACTTTTCACAATATATATGATGACGATGAAACTGAGCTAAAAGCAATATTATTTTCAAGATGTCGTGAAAGTTTTAGGACAAGCCCTTGCAGTCTACCGTTTGTAGAAACACCAAGCGGCAATCACAACATTTGTTATCCTGACTAACAGAGTTTACAATCATCACCGTGATGCAGGTATATAATTATAGAGAAAAGATTGATCAAAGTTTTTCATCTTAATCTATACGAACCTTCTTACTCAGATCAAATCTGGTCTAAAATAGCGCGTACCCAAGTGAACATTTCCGGCATAACTTGGCGTTTGAGGTTTGTTCTTGACAAAATGCCGGTCATTTCGATTTGCAAATAAGCATCACCCTTGCTCATTTTTCGTTTTCTTTTTCTTGTTAATAAAACAAATTAGTACATATCCTACTTGACATTACAGCTACTTAATTGGTCACTTTCTTCATGGCGGTCTGCGTCAATGTTGTACACGTTCCTAAAAAAAGGAACGAAAGCTCGTTCCTTCTGATTTTGGAACGCGTTCCCGTTACAAATTCTATATGTGAAAAAGAAACTCGTTCCCGTTACAGTTAAAAAATTGAACGTATCGTTACATGTACGTTACATTTGTAGTTTGCTGATTACCATATATAATTAGATTAATCAATTTCTTTTTATCAATCTCATCAAATGAGAACATACAGATTTATATGTCGTGATGGAAGGGCACCAAAAGTAGAAAACAAGCGGAATCAAGGTTTGATTTGTTGATATATTCAAGTTTTAAAATCTCAGCTTTTAACCATATTTATGCTTGTGGTGAACGATTCAGACGAGCCAAATGTACTGTTACCCCACAATGCACGAGTGTTTTACAACAACCTCACACGTTTCAACCTAACGAAGTCCCTTGTTCGAACTTAACCAGTTTAAGAACAGTTGCTCCTCGATGTTGCTGTCCGCAAGACGAACAAGTGAAGGAGAGGATAGGGCTTTTGGAAGATTAGTCTTGAAAACTACAAGTACGTCTTTGTGAAGGTTGGATTCGTTGTTCAGTTTCAAGGTTGGGACAAGGGGAGAAGGAATAAAGGTTAATTTTTATGCATCTTTTAAGTGACCAATGTTCATGATACAAGGGTGCGTTGGATGTCTGGTAGTCTGTGATTTTGTTATAACTGTAGGTCTCTTTATGGAAGTTCAGAACTGGCTTTAGTCGTCCTTAGATTTCTGGGGGTATGAGGATTAGTGGAAAGGGGGGGGGGGGGGGGGGGGGCATAGAAAGGAGCTGAGTTTGAAACGTCCCTCTTTCTGTGTCTTTTCCTTCGACTATATGTTTTGCTTTTTGTACCTCAGTCTCGGGCACTCAAAAAGAATCAATGTCCACCAGCTCTCCTGCACCCGTCTGTTACCAGGCGAGGACCACACAAAATAAAGCCTAAGATAAGTAGCCGAAAAGTTAACGAGTTAAAAACAATATGTTCGCAAATATATATTATATATATTTACGAACAAATTACAATATATTCGTAATATATACGAACATATTACGTAAATCGTAATATATTTAAAATTTCCCTCGTAGAAGTGAAATAAAAACCCCACTGAACGAAAGAAACGAACGCCGTTACTCTTTCCGTTCCCGTAAAAATGTAACGAGTTCCCGTTCCAGTTCCACCGATGTAAAATGGAACGACGGCGTTCCTTCGTTCCTCCTAAAAGGAACGCGTTCCAGGAATGCCGTTCCTTGGAACGCCGTTCCGTACAACACTGGTCTGCGTGCGCAATCGTCACAGTTCCGCCGCGCGCCTCCGTGTTCTTTGTTTTTCTACCGCCTACAGACAAAAATTGTTGCTCATCACATAAAAGAGGCACTAACAAACTTCTACATGGTCGAGAAGGTAAATGTGTGTCAGAAACACAGTTTTTTTTTTTTTTTTTAGGCAGTTTAAAAATCCAGAAAGGCTCTCTCAAATCGCTTATGGTCTACCGAGGATAAAAACGCCGAAACAAATTTGCAGAGCATATTTTAGATAATTTTTGAGTGAATTTATTTATGATGAATATCTTTTAAGGTGATCGGCCCTTTATTTCTGTTGCCAAATCTTCAGTCGGTGACTGAACAATTTTCATTGTCATCAATATATTTTACTGGAAAATTCCCATGACCGCTTAAAACCGACAAGTGAGGACAATTCCCGAAAACGCCAGCTGTTGAGTCAGCGCAAACTTTTTTTTTCTCGATAATTCGCGGTGTGAAACGTCATGTCGCGGGGTATGTCAAAAAGGACTGTGTGATCACATAGTAGATCTGAAGGCAATTACACAAAATGTGCAGAAAAGGAGATATATAATAAATGGTATTCCTCTAAATAATCTCATGCACAACGCCCTACTGCAAAATTAATACATAGAGATGCCTGCCTCATGATATTCCTCATTACACACAAATAGCGTGAAGGACAAACAATATATTTCTAATATAAACCACATTTAGACATTGGCTTTCACGAGCTCGAAACTTTGCAAATTGCTGTCTCCGCTTTGGGCCCTCACTTTACAACTATGTGC